GTGAGGAGGTTGTACGAGTCTTCGACTAACGTAATTGCGAAAAATTACTTTCTGTGGCTGTAGTAACGGTATTTTCCTCTCAGCTTAGTCCTCGGTCTGAGCCTGCCAAGCTAGCGTTCACGTCAAAACAACCACCAAAGGTTCACAAGGTCTATTATTGCCCAAAACGAAGTCAAGAACAATTGTGCAGTGCTTCGTATATATGGCGCAGATGGCTATAACCTTCTGGAAATTCTGACGCGTTCTGGATGCGGCATTGGCAACCGTCATTTGGCCAACACTGGGTCATGATTGGCTGTTGGGTCCAGATTTTCGACCAATCAGATCTCGTCTTGATGCCGGACCGGCAAGCGTCCCGAATTCTTGGCCAATCTCGTGCGGGCTGGGCTTATCAGCCGTAGCAGCGCCTGAAGACGTGCGGTATAGCGGGATCCGTGTGTAGTCCTGCCTAACAGTGGCACCTCAGTAAGCCGTAATAGGAACTGCGAAACAGGAAAATTTGTTTTCATAACGCACTACTCATAAGGTTGCTGGAAATTCGTCGACCGCCCACGACCGGTTTCGCCCTTCTTGGGGCTGATCAAGTAGAAAAATTTATTGTTTGCCAACGTTCAACCAGTGTCACATGTGCGACGTGCTTCAGCCGACGATTCCTTGGCTAGATTACCGCGTCCTTTCGAACAAAGAGTCAGATTAGCCATCTGGGGTGATGGGAGGACAGAAACTATCTTCCCTGCGGTTTCTTGGAGGGCTTTGAGTGAAAAACCAAAAATCATCTTTTTGAATGATATCTCATCAAGAATAGCCCTTTTAACAGGGGTAGTGTAGCTGACCTGACCATAGCCCCCTCGTCATGATTTTAGCCGTTTTTAGTCTTATAACCTCTGTAAGATGTTTCCTTCACTTTACGATTTGAAAGAGACACCAGCAAAACTTATCAATGTTTTTTTATTTTGTCAGGAAGTTTTCTTGGTTTATTAGTTCTCCAGCTGGATTTGTGGGAGCCAATCGTTGTAAGGGGGAGAGTAAAAGGTCAGCATCTTGTTAGTAGAGTTCATCAGTGCCGCTTCATCCTCATTGCGAATCACCAGCAGTGGGCATCTCAAGAAACTCCAGTAGATATGGCCGAACCCGCGACCTCATGGCTAGCGTTTCACCCACCCGCGGCTGATTGGCGGTGTGATTAGCCTCCACCTGAGAAGATCTGAGGTCAGGTGCTAAAACTAGCGGCCGGAAGTTCGCGAACTCCAGACACTCTGAAATCTTGTGAGTTTAGCACTGACGATGTTCCTTAATAAGGAAGAAATGGCTGTACCATGCCTCTCGGCTTCTCATCTCTCAACTCGTGTCATCTCGATCAGGCGAGGTAATACTGCGTTGATGGAAGTGTAAACACTCACGAAAACTCAATCACCTCGCGAACTGGTTGTCAATTCATTCTGGTATTTCACACTGACATCTGAATGATACAACATGAGTGGCGACGTGCAGCAATCTTCTTAAAGGCACATCTGCCACTCACTCTGCCCCAGTGGGTTGGCACACGCTGTTTCGAATCGTGAGTTAATGGCGGATGCTGAGTGACTGACAATATGCAACCAAATGCTACGAGGTTGGCTCATAATTCTTCACTGTGACAGCAATCAGAAGGAATCATGAGCAATGTCTTCTGAAGGGCTACTCACATGCTAGTTAAGAACAAACAAGCGGGGAAACACGTCACTCAATGGTGGTTAGTAGCTTCACGTGAAAGTTATCGTCGCTGATCAGTGGTCAAGATAAGTTTAGCATTTGTTCAAGCTGAGTTCTGATAATTACTTGCTTGAATCATCCATTTACCCTGATTGGGTTCTGACGTTCGCCTGACTTTGTAGTACATGGCCTTTCCTACTAAACCTCTGCATTCCATGGATCAGGTTGAAGGCTGTTTGTTCACTCTGGATCGACTGTTTGTGTGTGAATTGTCGCAGATGGGAATCACATTACTTAAGGGTAAACAGGTTCACCTGTTAAGACATTAAAATCCAGCGTGTGCTGTTAGAGTAGCGGTAACACTCTCGCCCCACATGTCGGATACCCGCGGTTCGAACCCCGGAGTGGGCAAGGATGTGCACTGCTGACGAGCTCTAATAGGAGATTATGGTAGGACAATGGGCTTGAAAATGAGTTGTCTAGCGTACGGCAGAGTGAAGCGTATACCGTGCCACTGAGTTCTGATAAGAAGCCAAAATATGCCCATTGAATCCCCAGGTTCTGTTCAGAACAAATTTGCTGTGATAAGGAAAGATTTTCCGGAAACAAGATTCCAGTTCATTCAAGAATAATGATGTACTTTCAGTGTCCCTCTGGGGCCATCAACCCAAATGGGTGTTGGATGCAAGTGCAGGGGTAGAGATTAGTGTGGCACACGATTAGCACGACCGCTCTGTCCCTGATGGCCGCTATTCAAATCAACAAAGACTAGTGTTAGCAACTATTTTAAATACTGGTGTAACGGCGGATACTACTGGCGGGGTATGCTAGTAGTGTGTGATTTTGTCGTAACCCCACCTTGCGTCTAATGGAAGGTGAGTTTTATTACGGAACCTGTAGAACTGCTTTGCAGTGTTCGTTCACAATTGCGTGATGGTCAATGAATATCCACCAAAGTTCAAGAAGAGGCGTGTGGATGTTCAGTTTTTAAAAACAAGGTGCATATGAGACAGTTACTTTCTGTCAAGTAGTTTGTAACCGTTTAGTTAGTGTTTAATTTTAAACTGCTTCGCGGCGAAGGACTTTTCTCCTCATACTCTAACTCAGCCGCTTTAACTAGAAGTTGATCAGGATCTGACTTGCAAACGTTCTGTCACCACTCGATGTGATACCATCACCTGACTTTGCAAATCACTTGTCAAGCTCAGTGAACAGATCAACTTGATTGACTACCATAGACTGCTTTGCGTACCATCCGTAAATGTACTTGTAACCAACTTGGTGAAGCGGTTATCAACTACATACATGTGTTTTCATATGCTAGGAAGACACCCTCAAACAGATCACAGTAACCTTTGCCGTTTCAAATTTGACACACAGATGCTCCCCAAATGGAATTAGCTTCCTCCAAAAGAGACACAAAGACCCTTTCCCCTGGGGTGTAGGGGGTCATCTCACTCAGATAGGTTTGATTCAGTAAGATAAACTCATATAGATTACCGCTAATAGGACCGAGTAAAACCGACTAACTGGTGTGGACCACAATCTAATTAATGCTTTCTTATTACCGTGAACCCCGGTTTGGATAGCCGATTGATAACCTGGTGCGCTTGGCCAAACTAGAAAAAGTCAACGAATGTGCGAGCCAGCTGCTCTATTGATCACCGTCGCGTACAAGCGGTCAAAAGTGATGCTAAGAATACAACTCGTCTGTCAAGGGCGAGTGAAGAATAACCAATGAGATCTGTCTCAACGAAAACGGTTATTTCATTGGCTGTCATGTATACCCGTCACGTTTGGAGATAGTTCGCTTAATACTAATCCCGATGAAAAATAACCGAAAAAGATGTTAAAATCAGCCAGTGGAATAATACTCACTTCCAGAGGGGGAGCATTTTGGTTGGCAGGGAGAGTTGTCAGAGTGTGTCACAGTTGTCAGGCCACATTCTGGGAAGGACATCGCCAGGTAGGGGTAGGCTGACAACACCTCTGGTGGAGTTCACCAGCGTCTGACTTTGTTTAACCCTCAAATTCGATTTGGGCCAACGTGACCCGCTTATGGACGTGGGTAAAGTGTGGTTCAACATTTTTCGGTTTGCATGACCAAACGAGTGATTCGGAGTCTCTCAGAAACAGTAACCTTCGAAACGTATGACCCAGGATTGTGCCAACGTAAAACCTTGGCACATCGGTCGCTACCGCCTATGGAAAACTTCAGAAAGGTTTCCTCATTGATAACGAGTCAAATGGGAACCAAGCGAGGTTACAGCTTGACTACTTGTAAGTAGTGCTTATTCACTTGTTTGTTTTCGTCTACTTTTACGATGTTGAATGCTGACATGTATCCATGAGCCCAGTTGTAAAATAAATGTTCTTATTACGTCCAGTGGGATTTGATACTACAGTGAAAAAAGTCAAAACCATGAGACTATTTCTTCTCCAAGCATAGCGATGGTTTTGACGCCATGATACTCACGTCTTCTGGTATCCTAATAGAAAAGGAACTTGTACACCAAGACCGACAAAAAATAAATCAGTATACCATAGTTTTTCACCATGTAGATCCTAGTGTGCGATGGGATGTGAAGACAACCATCAAGAACAGCGTCACCCAGATCTACACCCGTATCCCCACATCAAAGTGCAGCGATCTTCCACTTGTAGAACAGAGTTAATGGAATACACATGAGCAACACAGTGGTATCGCAAAATTGCCTCATGACCTCGACGCTGACAGTGGGAGAAGTAACACCGGTCCTCGAGGAATACGTAGTCCCCGAGTGTTTGACATTCTGTAGGAGCCACAGAGAACAAAGCTCGTTTTGGTAGACAGTGTTTCGGCATGCAAAGGGCATAACCGAGCCACCGTACTTGATGTGGCTAGATGTTTTCCGTGGTTGAAATACCAGCTAGACAAACAACTACCCCCTTTTCTAATTACCTCTTTGGTGCCATCTATTCACGGAAGCCATGTTCCGCAACCGTATAGCAACATAGCCCCAGGTGTAGTCTAGTGCGCACGATTGTTGAGACCAAGTGACGCAAATTAACAGACGCGATTCTGACCTTCGAGATTCGTGCACTGACTTTACTGAACACAATTCTGCCGGAGTTGGTACAACTTCCGAGATGTATAAAGTTCTCCACAACATCCAGTGCCTCTTTTTGAATTATGGAGGGGGGGTGGGTATTTCGGTAACTACACATTTTGAAGCATGACTTTGTACTTTGAAATCGCAAGATGCGTTCCGGAAGAAGGTATGATGGTAGTCAGTTAATTCAGCAGTGCCTGTACTTCACTTTCGTTTCCGAATATGAGGACGATGTCGACAAGGTTCTCTCCAGTACTTACTTGGACACCGTGGTTTTGAAGATATTCCAACTTTGGCCTCATTATTTCAGGATTTGGTGAACAGGATCAGAGTGAGTAGACATCTTTGTCAGACACCAATTTTTGTAGCGAAGCTTCTGGATAGCTCACCACACACTCTCGCACTCCCAGAAGTATGTGGATATGGGGACCTGATTATATCCACACACACCCGGAGCATCCTCTGATGAGCAACGACCAACCGACAGGATCGAACGCATCCTTGAAGTCAAGATTGTGGGTTGTGTGTACATATGGCAATGCTCTGACAACTGAATGGAGTGTGTAGATGTGGTCAAAACAGCCTCTATTCGGTGGAAATCTCGCTTGATGCATATGCCCCAAGGTTTCTTGTGCTACCGTAAGATGACGGAGAACCAGTCACGCCAGAAGCCTCGTCACAACAGGAGTTAAGTTAACACTTCTGTGGTTACTACATTCACTGCGAGTACTCTTTTTTGGGAAGTGGGCACTACTATCGACTCACCTCAGTTGTCTGGGACGGTCTCTTTCTCCCAGATAGACCCAAATAGGCTAGACAGGCACTGGTTGAACAATCCACCGCCATCCTTGGAAAGAGCAGGTGGAAGGTCGTCAGGATCAGTAGCAGATGACGCTCGAGTAGAACTATAAGCTCGGACAATTCTGAGGTTAAAGGCGGCTCCGCTTTTCTGTTGAAGGTCAGGATTCCGGGTTGGAGATCGCAGGTGGTCAACTGTGCCCAGTGGTCCAAACGTTATGCTTTGCTGGATATCATGAGAGTAACTTAAATTGTGAATAACACGGCTGCACACCAGTCGGAATACTGTCATACCGCGCAGACCTGGGCAGGAGGGCGATTAGAGTGCTGAACCAAAGACTTTGACTGAAATGTCCGGCCCCAAAGTAGCGTATCTGGCAGAAATTGCAGTTGGGTTTCCCCCCCAACCTGGGGGTTTAGAAGACTGTGTTAATCAGACCTCTAACCGTTGACCAGCCACCGGGTGAACCATCAGAACGTGGTAAGGTCCAGTTTCTTCGTGAAGAGTGTTCACAAGTATCTAATGAATAAATCGAAAGTCGCAGTCAAAATTCCTTTCACATATGTGCAAACGTTGTCCTAGGTTAGAAATTTTACCTACTCTTAGGCAAAGGTGTTGTATGTTTGGAACGGTGAATCAGTTACCTCAACATTCAGAGAGAGATCAAATAAGAAATGTTGAAAGGATTCCAAACAGCCATTGTCAGATGCAAATCGTGAAGACCTGACGAATTTGCACGACGAAGTGTTCAAACCTAACAGACGTGGACTTAAACACAAAATTCTCCATTCACTCCATCCTATATGGGGAGATGGGTTCGTTCCACCGGACTACAAGTATCCTACCTTGGCGTCCTTATTCTAAAAGGAAAACATAAGTACTACGGCTACGCATCAGCCTACTGCGCAGCGGAACAGTCATGTGAAATAGGGCCGTGCGATTATGCCCATACGTCCGATCACGTCCGATTTCATCATGTGCCGGAGAAATAAGGACACAGAATGTTCACGCCTAATCCGTGGCCAAGGCACCCCGTACACAAGCGCACAGACGGCCATCTATGATCAACCGAGACAAAGAA